TAATTAGGGAATGACTGAATGGCTTCAATAAGTGAGTGAGTGACTCTCATCTCCACCCCTGGAACTGGGACCCAGGGACCTGAGAGGCGATGGGTTCCTGTGGACAATTCTCCCTTCCTCCCCTCCCCCCGCAGCAGCAGAACTCACGGGCTTCTTGACTATTGGAGACCGTTCCATTATGCAGAGATACAACAGGATTGCCATGTAGCATTTACTCCACCAGAACTGCACCCAAACTATTGAAATGCAGATGTCAGTAAAATAACAGATCTCTGGTGGCTTGTCTACCTGTCTCCCTCACTGCTGAGAAATAACTCTCAGCAGCAGGTTAAGCTGACAGTAAACACAGGAATTGACTTCAGTGGGAATGAACTTGCTTGACTGTTGACAAAAATCTAAGGTGATGCAACCCTCCCAGGGCTTGTTGCTAGCTCAGGTGGCAGCCGGCCCCACTGCTATGCTTCTTCCTTCCTGGGACAAGGATGAGGGACAAAGGCACCAGGCTGGTGAAAGAGTCCCTGTTCCTGAGCCAAGAGGCAGGTCTCAGTGTCCTAAGAAGGGCGGAGCCTTGGGTCTTGCAGTTGGCAGCAACTTTGCAGAGTAGAGAATGCTGTTAAGTAAAGAGCGGGTATAATATGGCCTCTCCTTCCTCCTGCCCCCTGCTCAGGCAGTGGACAAAGATCAGGTGGGCTGGCAGCTTCCAGGATGAGATGGTGGGGGGGGCTTTCTCCCCCACCTCACCAAGGCACCCAGAGCTAGCTGGAGCGCAGGTCTGCAGAGTTGCCAGTTAGGGGCGTGGCCAGAGGCCGGCTTCAGCGTCCAGCCCCCACCAGCAGCCTGCCCGCCGGGCAGTCTGAAGGGAGATGAAGGTAGGCAGGCTTCGGCAGAGGGCACTCAAGTCCTAGGAATCTGCACTCAGCAACCACACGCCTGTGTTTGGGGGTTTCCTGGGGAAGCGGAGCTCATGAATCTCGGTAACTCGAGCCCAGGGCCTCATCACTCACCGTGATTGTGGGGGGATTGAGAGCCGGAGTGGATCAGTCTAAACAAAACACACACACAGGGGACTCGTCCAAATGAGCCCGCTTGGCCACCACAGGAAGCTCCCTCCTCATCCCCCACCCCCACAGAAGCCAGGGAGGGGTTTGGAGAGGGGCCAGGAGGGGGCCGGCAGCCTAGGGTTTCTCTCTCCCCCCAATCCCCACCTGTGAGCCGGTGGGAGACATGAATCTGGCTGGCAGCGACTTGGGCCAGCTCAGCCGTTTTTTTCGGGGATGTTAATGAAATGCGGGAGCACTTGTCCTTTCAGACAGCGGCTCCTTTTATTTTGGAATGAAAAGCTGCATTAGTCTGAATGAGGTTTGGAGGCTTCATAAATCCGACGCTGACTGCCTCGTTGGGGAGCGAAGAGCAAGGCCTGGCTGGTGCGGAGACTTGTTTACCAACAATTTGAAAAGCCAGGATTGGTGCTCCCAATCCCGGGAGATGTAGCTTGAGATCATGCCAGCCCTGGTGCCCACAGATGGCAGGGCAGCCCAGAGAGGTGCACGATGACAGGGAAAGAGGGCTGCCTGAGATGGGGACAACGGAGCTCCCCAGTTTGCTCTTGTAAACTCTTGTAAAGGATCCACATCCTATTCCACTCTAGCCTTTCTACAAGCAGCCAGAAGCCCCAGTGAGCCTCCAGCAGAAGTGCTGAGGATCTTCTGCTAGAATATCTGTCCCCTACTCAGGCCAGACCAAATGGGACAAAAGTCAGGCATGCCAGCTTAGGATACAGATAGACCTGAATGTGTTTCCTGAATCCACACCCACAGTGCCTGACAGTGATGGCCAATAAACATTAGAGGAAGGAAGGAGGGAGAAGAAGGGTCCCATACTAGCTGTGTGACTTTGGACCTCTTAACCTCTCTGAGGCTCAGCGTCTTCAACTGTAAAATGCAAAAATCACACGGATCCTGTCACAGAGGGCTGAGAGAGGGTTAGAGGAAGCGATGCGTGTAAGGTATGCTGAGTGAGTACATCGCCTGGAACACAGAAAACAGGTAATAAATACTAGTGGTCTTTATCCTCACTGCCGTTGTAATGCCTCCCACCCTCCCCCAGACCGGGAGGGAGCGGCCACTGTCCGTTTGGGGAGACCTCTGTGTTACAAAATGGCTTGCAGCTGGGTTCAGAACAAGGCCCAGTCCTGGGCTGGGGGCAGTCAGCTTCCCTAAGACCCCAGGGTTCCAGTGACCAAGCCCCACAGTCCCCGCAGCTTGAGGCTGTTTCCCAGCGCAGCCAACGTGGCAGCAGAGGAAAGCTTCCGTCCACAGCGCTGGCTAACTCCCGCCCACTCTGGGATGCGGCAGGAGCAGGAGCGAGCAAGGCATAGCCAGTGCTGCTTCCCTGGGGTCGGAGAAGGGGCTTCGGGTGACAGGGCCACACTCTCACACCCTGGCATCCTAAGACTCCCTCTCTGCCTTCATCCATTTGCTTCTCTAGCACCATTCTCCTTCTTGGCTTTCTTGGAGACTGCTGCTCCTTCTCCTGCCCTCCACCCTTCATCCCTCTCTCCCACTGGCCTTTCCCAGGGTTCTGGTCTGGGATGTTGATCTGCCCTTTCCCTAGAGTCCCTTCTACTTCTTCAGTTTCCCCGCGAGGCCACTTGTTCCCTACACCCTGCCCCTCTCAAGGCAAGAGGCTGTCCGTAGGATAACCAATGTGGAATTAGCATCCAGGCTCTCCCCTCCTGCCGCGGCCCCTAACCATCCTTGGGCACTGCTAGTGATGCTTTCAGAGCCTTGCATCCTTTGCCTTGATTTCAGATCCTGCCAACCCCCCTTCCATTTCCTTATTAGGGCATTTTCTTCCTTAGAGAATAGCCAGGACTTTCTGGTTCCTCTGAGCATCTAAACTAGCTGTGGAAGCTGATAAGTGATGTGTATGGGGTGTCCAGTCTTGAATAAAGAGGCTCCCTCAGCTTTATCCTGGAGGGTGGGCCCTTCTGCTCCCCTCTCCTGCACTTCCTCCTTGCTGGTGCCCACTGGGGCCCGTTACTCTCTATCAAGAGGTGGCAGCTGCTGCTTCTCTGGCTCTGGTCTGCTTGTCCTTCCCTCTTGTCCCTCGGGCAACATTTTTCAGTGGCTGCTTGGGAAACCAGCCACTCCTGCTTGAGGGTGAGGGAGCCCCAAAGTCTGGGGGAAAAAAAAGAAAAGAAAGGTAACCTCCACTTGCTGGAGGATCTTTGAGGGTGCCCTGGAGACCAGCACATCTCCTTCCCTTCTCAGGAGGGGGTCCCTGGGACTCTCTCCTCCTTCCCCTACAGCTACCGTCCCCTCCATTTCAGGTGGTAGGGAGTCCTCCCAGCCCTCAGTCGACAGGATTGGCCACGCTACAGTATTCACATTCCCACACAAAGCCACCGCCTCCTATGTCTGGACGGGGAGGGAAAGGAAAGACTGAGAAATTAACAGGCCAGATAGAGCCCGACTCATAGTCTGTTTGTAAGAAAATTAAAGATTTGTTTTTCAGATGTTGGGGGCCATGCTCTTACCAGACAGCTGGCAAATGGGAGAGTTTGGGAATGATGGAATAGATCAAATTATTTAAATGAGAAAAATAAATTCACACACAGCCTAGCCGCTGCCCGGTGACAGATCCGTTTATTTATCTACTGTATCGGCATCACTTTGTCTCTGTCAAAAAGGTCATTAAACTCGCCTAACTGCGTATTTCGCAGCCTCCTGCTCCAGACTCGCTCCACAGCCCTTCCCTTCCCTCGACACCCAGCGCCACTTGAAAAAAATTTTATTATTGCTAATAAACAAGGATTTTTTAACCCCTTCTAGCTTGCTCCCCCATGGGTCCTGCTCCATCCCACGGAAAATTACAGTTTCTCTATTCTTTCTCAGGAGGAATGGAGGCGGGGGCCAGCCCCTCCTGCAGTTGGACAAGAGGGATGGGAAGTCGCAGGGTGTATCTCAGCCGCCCCTCTGTATGGAAGGATTTAGCCATCTTCCTGCGAAGCCTCTGTAGTTACAGTGCGCGGTCAAGTCCTGCCTTCCACAGCAGAGGGTCTTGCCTGGGCTCTCCCACCCCAACCAGCTCCTGCAGCTCCCCTAGCCCAGCGTGGACAATTCTCTTTGAATTCTGTCTCCCCTGAGTCCCAGCTCCAACTCGAACTCTGCTTCCACGAGGGATGGGATTAGGGAGGGAAACCGCCTCCTGGGTCAGTCTCCGGCCGCAGCCGTCCAGCCCGCGCCGGCTACGTGGGAGTCGGAAGGCGAGACTCCGCAGACGGCGGGCTCCGGGGCCCTCTGCTCCTGGCGGGCGCGTCTCCTCCAGCTGGTCGGGCTGCGAGGCTGCCGCCGTCTCCCAGCTCGCGGTGCCAGCTCTCGTGCTCCACGCCCGGCTCGCAGGCTCCGTGCCCTCGCAGTTGAAGGGACTAGGGGCCGCAGGGCGGATGGGGACGTCTGGGAAGCGAGGATAGTCCTCGTTTTCTCCGGGCGTCCCCCCAAACCAGGTCCCGGGTCCCCTTCCCCGCCCCCTGCGCAGGTGTGAGCTCGCGAGTGTACGCCTCGGCGGGTGTGAGTGTGAAGTGTGTGTGCGCTGGGGGAGTGCG